AGTGTTGCCTTTATTGCATTTCCTTGGAACCACAGTGACATTCAGTGGCCAGTGAAGGCTGAAAACACGTGGCAGACAAAGCACTTTTATTTATGCTCCAGAAAGGTATAAATAATTTTTCTAAGAACTTTCTTATTTTGGCTACTTCAATCCACCTTGCTCCGACTGTTGCTTCTGGAAATATGGCACAAGGACTAATAAGGGACATGTTGGACCCCAAGACTGCCATCAAACACAAACTACTTGTTCTCACCCAGTTGCCAATGGAGCAAACAAAAAAATATATTTTAGGGTCATGTTGCCTTCTAAACACTCCTGTTTGATCCAGAGATTAATGTCTTGCCTACCCTGCATCAGAGAAGGCCCTTACAGGCAGCAGTTAACTAACTCACAGACTCAGAACTGGTCAAAGTCCTAAGAATCAGTGATAGTGGAGTGCTAAGCCCTAAATTTGATGGCTGAAACAATAACCCCTCCAAGGTTCAGTAAATATCATAGAAGAGGGGCAAAGGGAAATTAAGATTCAGAAGACAGGGAGATTGGCAAGAAAAAGATGCCTTAATTTCATTCATTAAATTTCCTCATTAAATCAACTTCATCTACCTAGTACAATTGCTTCCAATACTGCAAACTGACAGGAAAGGCAGCCAGCATCAGATCTGGACTCTTAAGACCTAAGTCTGAAAAAACATGGGTACGGAATTGGGCATGATCACATAATAGCTAGCAAGTGGGGGGGATTTGAACCACAGACACTGGCATCCTGTCCTTGGGTGAGGTCAATACTACTATACATACACAGGTAGAAAAAAGAGCAATTAAGAGAGTAACCAAAGGGGTAGCATTAGGTGCTTTGTCTGTGTCAGGTACTAACCTTGTTATTTTTTTTTTGTTTGCTTGCTTGTTTTATTTGAGACAGGATTTCACTCTGTAACTTAGGCTGGCCTAGAATTATTATGCAGCCTAGGATGACCTCAGACTTCAACCTCTTCCCTCTGTGTAATTTTTCACTATTGTAATTCCCAAAGGTCCTGCCTTGTGTAAATCTTAGGACAGTTCTAGAAAGTAAGAACAATTATCCCTAGTTTACACCCCCACACATATTCCTGGAACTACTGTGTCCGTTTCACTTGGATTTTGATAGTTGTTCAAATGAGGCTTCTTACCTAGCATTGGTGACTCAGACATGCAAGTGTCCCAACTGTGATTTACGTGACTTGGCTCCATCTCTGTGACTACCTCTTCATATCCTACTACCAACATGCAAATTCCCATTTTCTCTTGAAACTTTCTAAGGAAATAACCTGCCATTGTTCTCTTTCAAGACTGGTCACAAAGAGTCTATTGTCACATATACATAGACAGCATTCCTCAGAGACAAGCATCTATCCAAGGTCCAATCATCTGTGATGAAGAGGGGAAGTAGCAGGTCCTAGGCTGGCCAAGGCAGACTACATTTGGATGCCACTTTCAAAGTCAGAATGCTTGAAAATACCAAGTTCATGTTTCCACAGGCAACATAGGAAGAATCCCTCTTTAATTGCAGTCTATTGCTTGTCATTCATTTATGATAATTACCTGGCACTTTGGGACATTTGAGTTTGAGAGCTCCCAAGTTTCTACCAGCTCTAATGATCTTAAATGTTCAATTCTATATGCTAGATTCCTTTACACTGAAAATATTGTGGATTGACATGGATCTTCGGTAATGGATAATTTGGAAACAAGCTGGGAAGGCATTTCATTTGCCCTCTGACTGGATTTTCTAAATAGGGACTCTACATCTCCGCACTATAAAGGCATTATTCTCCTCTACTGGAATTGTGGTAATTTTATTATGCCGTGTACTATTATCATCTTGTCAAAATGAAACTCTTCCAGAGAGCTGGCAAAGGCCTTATCAAATCAAGTGGAAGTGATTAAGGACAGTAAAAAAAAATAGAACAATTATACATACACCGTTAAACAATGCAAAGAATGAGAATCCAACTAATCTTCAGATTTTCAGAAGTAAGGTTTACAACGTGGCATTTTGTTGACTCAATAGCAAATTATCAATTCATTAAATGTTTGAACCATTTATCAAAACTGTGAATGACAAAACAATCAGAGACATGAATAATCAGACTCTAAGTTTGCTCTTTGTATAAAATTCAAATGCACCCAGCACAATGTTACTCATCTAATCAGCATATTCATGCCCCAATGTGAAATCATTGTGTAATCATGAGATACAACCAAAATGGAAGCAACAAAAATCTCATTTATATAATCATAACAGGCGTGTTATCATGGTTGTCAAAATTATTTAAACCTAATTTACTCTGTTTTCTAAACTTAAGTTTGACATAAAAAGTTTGGTGAAAAGCACAAATGCTAAAGAACTGAAGAAGTGGGTACTAAATGTATTTTTAATGCCTGACGTTTGCTTAGGAGATGAAAGAGCTAGCTAGTAACCAAGTATAAGAGACTAGCCCCCCAAAAATTTTAAGAGATTAGTAGAATGTTTTAAACTTTGGCTTCTAGTAAGAGATGATAATTCCCACTGGTGCAATTACAACAAAAGAAAATTTGAAAAACTTCTATTAAGTCACAACTCTGGGGAAGACATTCTTTCCTAAGGCAAGGGATGGCTGTATTTCACATTGCACTGACAGCTTGGTCATCTTCCAGGTGTAGTCAGTGGTCTGTCTACACTAATGTTTCTCAAACTTTAGGATAGATGAGAAATACTTGCAAACCCTGTTAAATATATGTATCCTGGGGTCTTACCATGTGCTTCATTCAGAAGTTGTCCGCAGAGATCGGAACCAGAGATGGCTCAGTTGCTGAAGTGCTTGTTGTAAATGAATGAGGGCCTGATTTTGGATTCCTAGCAGCCATAGCAAATGCCAGGTAAGGCAAAGTTTGTTTGTGTCCTAGCTTGCACATCTCTTGCTGCAGAAAACACCACAACCAAAACCAACTTCAGGGAAGAAAGTTTCCTTTTGGTTTACAAATTACACAGTCAGTCATTAAAGGAAGCCAAGGCAGGGAACTGAACAAAAGAGCTTATAGCAGAAACCATGGTGCAATGGTGCTTACTGTCTCCTTTTCTTAGCGTGCCCAGCTACCATTCTTAAACGGCAAAGGCTCACCTGCCCAGAGGTAGCGTCAACTTCAGTGGAATGGACCCCCCTACATCAATTAGCAACCAAGAAAATGGCCAATGGACTTGTCCACAGGTTAATTTATAGGACCTGATTCCTCAATTGAGGTTTCCTATTTCCAGGTGTGTTGGTGATAATCCCAGCCCTGGGAAGACAGAGGCAGAAGGATCCCTTGGGTTTTCTGGCCAATCAGTTTAGACAAGTAAGAATCTTCCACCCTCTGAGAAAGATTATGTCTCAAAAACTAACGCAGACAAATAAATAACTACACCACTGAAAATGACACACAGGAACACACACACACACACACACTGCATCATAACTAAATTGGGAAAAATTTAAATTAAGAGAGGGCTTGTTAGGAAGAAACACAAAGGGAGATGGATGGGAGAGTGCAATGGGGGAAGTGAAAACAATCAAAATTTAGCATAGATACATATAAAATTGTCAGATAATGAAGAGGTTAGAGATACCTTAGCACACAAAGAGCACTTGCTGCTTTTCCAGAGTACCCCAGTTCAGTTCCTAGTACCCACAGTGGGCTACTGACTACACCTCCAGTGTTAGGTGATTTCATGCCCTCTTTTGGCTGCCCATACACACATAGAATACACTCACCTAAATGCATAAACATAAATAAAATTTTAAGTAAGACTACTTTTTTTTGGTTTTTACGAGACAGGTGGATCTCCGTGAGTTCAAGGCTGGCCTGGTCTACAAAGTGACTTCCAGGGCAGCCTGCAAAGCTACACAAAGAAACCTTGTTTTCAAAAACAACAAAAACAAAAAACAAAAAAAGAAAGATATCAATGATCAGTGGCAACCTCTACATAACAACCTTTGGCCTGCACATACTTGTGCACAAATGCACACACACATACACACCTCAGTTGGACCTGAAAAAACTGTATTTTTAGCAAGTACAGTAGGTAGTTTTATTGTCGCTAGTCAAATAATCTTGTGAAACATTGCCGCACAGCGTTCTCCTTCTACCCTGGCATTACATTATTTGGAATCCTTGCATTATGAATCTTCCCAGTATCTCCCTGGAGTGCTTTCTGCATGCTCTATTTAACCTCCACTTATGTTCTCCAGCCTAACCCCATCTCATTAGCCTGATCTAGAAAACAGCATACAGTTCTGACATTTTTATTTCTCCATATTTCTACCTATGGGATCTTCACGCGTGCATTTTCTTTGGAAAGCACGAGAAACTGAACCTTTTTTCAGAGTTTAGATTTCAGCCTTTCTTCCTTCAGGCAGTTGGGGAGCAGGAGCCATTTCAAGTAAATGCACATGCTGTTTATTTACTCAAACCTCCCACCTACTAAGGAGAGCATTATCAAAACCTTTGGTGTCCTTAATATTACTCTGCACAACAGACAAGAAAACAAAAGGAGACTCTCAAGCTGGTCCATTTAGCATCTTATTGACAGCTCAAGACAAAACACCATGCCAATGAAAAGCTACAATTCTCTTCTTGAAAATTCACAATTGTCTGTTGATATGAACCATACAAGTTGTCACTGAGATGACTATAGTCTTCTTGACTGTACTCTCCATTATCCTGCCAAGTAACCTTGGCATGTATTCCAAACCCCATGAAATAAACAAAGTCATTAAGATAAATCACTAAACTCTTTGGTGCCAGGCATTGGTGTTTGGATTCTTACTTTTCTCCCTCCCTCTCATCACCTTCCTTCTCCTCTCTTTTCTTTTCCCCCTCCTACCCTCTCTTTATGTTTCACTACATATCCTACTCTTAACCTCATAATGAAAATCCTGGTGACTGAATCTCAAGTGCTAGGATGACAAGAAGTCACCACCACAGTTTTTTTTTATGTAATACTTGTAGAATTTCGGCAGCACATATACTAAAATTGGAACGATACAGAGAAGATTAGCATGGCCCCTGCTCATGTGTTTTTGTTTTTAAGGAAACCCTGCTACATTTTGATTAGCAACAGTTCACATATAAGCCTCTGCTTCCTTATATTGATGTGTGTGACTCTTCCTGTCTAGCTAACACCAACACATGCTCTGTTCCTAATAAATGTTCTCTGTGCAATCTTGGATTGATTCACCCACCTCTCAGAAAGCTCCTGCTAGTTCTCATGTACCAGGTCTTGTTGACTCACCCAGAGAACTATCAAGTGGGTGAGGAGGCCTAACTTAAAATCAGTGCATCCATGACAGGCTGCAGGGTAGCAATACCGGGACCAGGCCTCACCCTTACAATGGCCCCGAGGCCAGGAACCAATCAGTATTGGAACAAACAAGTACCAGATATTCCAGAACGTTAAAGATAACTTACATAGCTTTTATATTCCTTATAGCAATGCCAGCACCAATCCCAGTTTGACAAGACTCCTATTGCCCCACTCTTGGCCAGTCAGGAGTTCAAACCCCATCTAAACCCAGAATTCCCCATCCCCTCATCCTTTACACCTTAAAAAACCCTACCACAGCTGAGCTCAGGACAATCTGGTCTCTACACTGCATTGTCAGACAGATGGAGAGTTCAATGGAGCTTGAATGAAGGTGTTCTGCCCTTGCGTACAAACTCGGACTCCTGGTGGCCTCTGGGAGGAAGAGAGCTCATGATTCAGGTATAGCAGTGGGAATTCATTGGGAGAGCCTTTCCTATCATCAGTCAGTGGCTGGGCCCAGCCTTATATCTACAACTATTTTGAAAATAAACTTTTTCGTATAATGTATTCTGATCATGGTTTCCCCTCCCTCATACCCTGCCAAAGCCTCCCCACCCATCCAATTCCATGTCTACTCTCTCTCTCTCTTTAGAAAACAAAGAGATAAACAAACAAATAAACAAATCAGAATAAAACAAAACAAACAGAATAAAGCACAAGGAATACACATACATGTGTGCATACACACACCATAAAAACATTAAACTGGAAACCATAATATGTAAGCAAAGGCCACTAACATTACAAAAACAAGTTGCATTATGAGAAAAAAGTCTCGAAAATTACCATTGAGTTGGTTTTGTATTGGTTATCTACTGCTGAGCATGAGGCCTGATCTGAGTGTAATTTGTATACTCAGTGAGACTCCATTCTAGAAAACTAATTTGGCCTTTTTCAAAGGATTGTCAATTGGGTGTCCCATCTAGGTTCGGGACTGGGGGATCATGTCCACTTCCATTCTCATCCCTATGACCCCATTTGACTTAGACCTGTCTTTTATTTCATATATGTGTCAGTCCTGCTGTGTCTGGAAAGCAGTTTCCTTGGTGTCTTCCATCCCCTCTGGCACATCTGGGATTATTTCTGCTTCTATTAACATTTAAGGCTGAATAAGTTTGTGTTGTGACAGGGCTACACGGTGGTTTCTAGCTGTTTAGATGCATAACTAGACTCTACCCTCTATGTGCCAATGTTACATCAGTACAACCAAAAATATCTCTTGACATTGCCAAATAGCTCCCTAGGGGAAGGTAAGCAAAGCCATCCAATGTGGTTCTAAAGCAATTAAGTTAAAACTTCTCTGAGTGCAGCATGATGTTCTTAAAAAAAATACCCCTGGTGATTTCAACTTGCAGCCAAGGTTAAAAACCACTACTTTAAAAAGACCATTGAGTCTTAACTTTCTCAACTCTAAAATGGGGATGATGAAAATATCTGCTTCATGAATTGTTCTCAATATCAAATCAAATATGTCTGAAAATAAATGTAGTATAATATTATTTCTCCCATCCACCATGAAACACTTATCCAGGGCTTATAAAACTGTGGTCCGCAGTTTATCTATTTTTTTTGTATAACCTGTGGGCAAGCCAATTTCATAGAAATTGTATTAAATTAAAATTTTGTATCTATATGGTATGATTTGGATATTACTCCAACACTTTCTGTCTTGGAAGCTTTGTCCCCAGTGTGGTGCTATTAAGAAGCAGTTGGAACTTTAAAAGATATACCTAGTAAGAGTACAAGTCTAGCCCCTCTCCATGTCCTCAAGCTTTCTGGTTAAACATGTGACATGTTCTCATCATAAAACTGTATACCATGACGTCATGCAAGGAGTCCCTCACCAGAGGCAGCTCTATGTTATTTGAACATTCAATTTCAAAATCATAAGATACTGGACCCACACAAGACAAGGACTTTCATCAATCAAATATGGATTGGGAATGACTCTTGACGCCACATCCCACCTCCTGAACTTACTGACTTCTACTGGATTCTGAAAAAGGCGGCTACTGTCTGTGGTTAAGAGCACTTGTTGCTCTTGCAGAGGATGAGGGTTCAATTCCCAGCATCCATGTAGCAGCTCCTAACTATCTATAACTCCAGTTCCAGGGGATCCAATGCCTTCTAACTTCTGAGGTTACTGTGCATATGTGAAGCACATGCATACATGCAATCAAAGCATTTGTACACATAAGATAAAATAAAGAAATATAAATTTTAAAAAAGAAAAGTCACGAGAGAAGTTCATCATTGTCTTAACTTAGTCTCTCATTGCCTTGTCTTGTGACTAAGTCACAGATCCATAAGAACATGGGTTTTCCTGCTCTACTCATTACTATGATCACAGTGCTTAAAACGTGTCTTACATACTAAATGTTTGTTCAAAGCATTAATCAAAAGTAGGCACTGCTATTAGCCCTCTGTCATTCAAATAGGAGTCTAAGTCTCAAAGCAGTTAAGTGATGTTTTCCCCTAGTAAACGACAGAAGTACATCCAAATCCATGTAATTCAAAACACTTTTCTTTGTTAGGAAAGGAATCTATAGGAGATGATAATGGAGAAAATATGACTAAATGTATTACTTACATATGTATGAAACTATGACTATATTGGCAGGTGCGGTGAACTTTATTGACAGCATTCAAGAGAGAAAGACTCCCTAAGTCCCATCCCCTTCTCCCGGATGTCTGGGATAGAAATTGACGCAAGATATTCATTGTCCTTTGCCTTACTGAAGCTTCTCAGTTTCAGGAGGTCCCATTTGTTAATTGTCGATCTCAGTGTCTGTGCTACTGGTGTTATGTTCAGGAAGCTGTCTCCTGTACCAATTCGTTGAAGAGTATCTCGCATTTTCTCATCTAAGAGCTTCAGTGTGGTTGGATTTATGTTGAGGTCTTTGATCAATTTGGACTTAAGTTTTGTGCAAGGTGATAGACATGGATCTATCTGCAGTCTTCTGCATGCCAGCATCCAGTTCTGCCAGCACCATTTGTTAAAGATGCTCTCTTTTTCCATTGTATAATTTTAGCTTCTTTATCAAAAATCAAAGTGTTCATAGGTGTGTGGGTTAAAATCAGGGTTTTCAATTTGGTTCCATTGGTCTACTTGTCTATTTTTTGCCAATACCAAGCTGTTTTCAGGACTATAGCTCTGTAATAGAGCTTGAAGTCAGGTATGGTGATGTCTCCTGAAGTTCCTTTATTGTATAGGGATGTTTTGGCTATCCTGGGTCTTTTGTTTTTCCATATAAAGTTGATTAATGTTCTTTCCTGGTCCTTGAAGAATTGTGCTGAAATTTTGATAGGGATTGCATTGAATCTGTAGACTGCTTTTGGCAAGATTGTCATTTTATTATGTTGATCCTACCAATCCAAGAGCATGGAAGATCTTTCAATTTTCTGGTATCCTCTTTTATTTCTTTCTTTCGAGATTCAAAGTTCTTGATATACTGGTCTTTCACTTATTTGGTTAACGTTATCCCCAGATATTTGATGCTGCTTATGGCTATTGTAAAGGGTAATGTTTCTCTTATTTCTTTCTCAGCCACTTTATCATCTGTATATTATAGGGGCACTGATTTTTTTGAGTTAATCTTGTATCCTGCCACTTTACTGAAGGTGTTTATCAGCTCTAGGAGTTCCCTTGCAGAGTTTTTCAGGTCACTTATATAAACTATCATATCGTCTGCAAATAGTGAAAGCTTGACTTCTTTTCCTATTTGTATCCCCTTGCTCTCCTTTTGTTGTCTTATTGCTGTAGCTAGAACTTCAAGTACAATATTGAAGAGACATGAAGAGAGTGGACAGCCTTGTCTTGTTCCTGATTTTCAAGATATTGTGTTGAATTTCTCTCCATTTATTTTGATGTTAGCTGTTGGTTTACTGTATATTGCTTTTAGTATGTTCAAGTATGTTCCTGTTATCCCTGATCTCTCTAGGACCTTTATCATGAAGGGGTGCTGGATTTTGTCAAAGGCTTTTCCAGCATCTAGTGAGATGATCATGTGGTTTTTCTTTCGCAGTTTGTTTATATGGTGGATTACATTGATAGATTTTCTAATGTTGAACCATCCCTGAATTCCTGGGATGAAGCCTACTTAATCATGGTTGACGATATTTCTGATGTGTTCTTGAATCCGACTTGCTAGTATTTTATTGAGTATGTTTTTCATTGATGTTCATGAGGGACATTGGTCTATAGTTCTCTTTCTTAGTTGTGTCTTTGTGTGGCTTGTGTACCAAGGTAATTGATGCCTCATAAAAAGAGTTTGGCAGTGAGCCTCCCGCTTCTATTGTGTGGAATACTTTCAGCAGTATTGGAATTAGCTCTTCTTTGAATTTCTGGTAGAATTCTGCACTGAAGCCAACTGGGCCTGGGCTTTTTTTGGTTGGGAGACTTTTGATGACTGCTTCTACTTCATTAAGGTTTATAGGTCTGTTTAGATTGTTTATCTGTTTTTGATTTCGTTTTTGCAAGTGATATCTATCCAGGAAATTGTCCATTTCCTTTAAATTTTCAAAATTTGTGGAGTACAGATTTTCAAAGGATACCCTGATGATTCTCTGGATTTCCTCAGTGTCCATTGTTATGTCCCCCTTTTCATTTCTGATTTTGTTAATTAGCATGCTCTCTGTCTGTCTTTTCCTAGTTTGGACAGAGGTTTGTCTATTTTGTTGATTTCTTTTTTTATTTCTTCCTTTACCCAGGGATGGTGCAATTGCGCATTGTTCAATTTCCATGA